GATCTTCATAATGTCCAGGGTACAATCCAAAATACCCAGCAAATGAAGGACCAAAAAAAAAAAAATTTTCCTTCTCCACAGGCAAAGATGGCTATTACCACTATCCTTGATGTTACAAAAAAATTCTTTTCAGTATATTAAAATCTTACCAGAGATATAAAAAAATTCCCAGCAGAGAAACAGAAACAATAAAAAAGTGTTGAACTCATTCAGCCACAGATCATCAGTCACTGGGTAAAAAGAACCCAGGATATTCACAACGTCTCAAAGTTATCATCTCACAGATTACTTAAATTCAAACAAACACAAATAAAAGATGAAGCTATCAAAATCTGGCAGACAACATCTAAATCAAGTGACTAGAATGCACCATTATCAGTATAGGGACAAACATGGATGTGATACAATGTATTATTATATTGTAGCATTATAAGTTTTCTATAGGCTTGAAATATTTTCCACAAAGTTGGAGGGAAATACAAACAAAAGAAATAAAAAGCCAAAAAGCATACTATTACAAATCAGAGGCAAGAATTAAAACAGCTGTCCTGGGATCCACTCACTTCCTTTACCAAGAGGAAATTCAGGGAAAAGTAGGTGCTGCAGTTTAACCTACTTGTTAATATACTGATAACTGGTAAATAGGCTAAAGGTTCTTTTGTTAGGAGGACAATGCCTAAACTGAAGAATGCTCTTAGCAGGATGGCCCCTGTTAAGGATGCTTATAGTAAACAAACTCAGAATCTATGGCTTTATGAGGCATGGAATGTTGAAGAATATCATGTAAGCTACATAACCCTGGGGTACAGAATGGATAAGTTTCAAAATCTAAATTCTGAAACTGCTATTAGGTAATAACTAAACTTCTTCATGTAAAGAGCTCATCTGCTCTGCACTAGCAAGCACATATCTGCTGCAGAAAGGAAGGACCTATGGAATCATGTAGAGTCCTAGACATCTAGCTTCATCTGTGCCTTCTGATTGCATCTATCTTTGAAATTATTAGTAAAGCTAGATTTCTAGTTAAGATCTCTAATTCAGTCTGATTTGATAATACGATTCTTTGGATGGGCTTATAAATAAAAGATGAAACTATCAAAAATAATTATAATCTTAGGTTAACAATCCTATTCATACTATTACCTTAGTAGAGTAAGGGAATTAAATGTTAATTTGATACAAATAATCAACACTGTATACTTTCAGGATAAAAAAGGCATCTTTTACCCTATGGAGAATTTCTTTTTAAGTATTTATAAGGGAAAAAAACCTTAAAACATAGTATGTGAAATTACAGAAAAATCTCAATAACTTTTTAAAAAGCATCTATAACCTGAAAGACCTCAAAATTCTAATTAATATATGGATATATATGACAATAAACCTGCAACCAAGGCGTGAGTGCAGCCTAGAACACTTCTAAATATGTCCTTTGAAATAAGATTCTGCACACTTCACAGAGTTGCGGTGAAGTTCAAATGATATGATATACAGTTGACCCTTACTAACATGGGTTTGAACTGTCTACTTACAGAAAGATTTTTTTTCAATAGTAAATTGAAATTCAACCAAGGTTGGTTGAATATGGCGATGGGAAACTGCAGATATAGAGGGCCCATGGTAAGTTATACCCTACTTATACCCAGATTTTTGTCTGCACAGAGGGTCAGCACTCCAACCTCCATGTTGTTCAAGGATCAACTGTAGCTATTTATATTATTTTGATGACAGACTATTTTACATGATTTTACACAGTACCTCTAAAGATCATAATCTACACCATTTTCCTATTTTGTGATCCACTGATGACAACCACTTAAAAACAGGCCATGATGGAGCATGAGACAAGGCAATCCTAACAGATGATAAAGCTCAAAGGAAGCTCTTAATAAGAGTTGAACATGTGAAAATAGAAGAATGAAACGAAAAGTGAAAGAGTTTTAAAAGAGAGAAGTAAAGGCAGCAGGCAGAGCAAGATCTCACAGAAGATATATAAATTCTCACTGCATGGGAATATTCAGCATAAGGAAAAGTAATGGACTCAGAGAGGAGAAAGGGAAAAAAAGAGGTACTGGTATATTTAGCTATGAGGAATTAAAGAATCTGAAAACTTGTTACATATCTCTGGGCCCTTCTTTCCTAGAGGGCAAGTATCAGGTTTATTAAATTATCTAATTCAATCTCTAGGAGAGTAAGAGTCTAGATATATTTGAGAAGTTAAAGTTTCATCTTAATGAAGTAGTACAGTGACATGGCTAACATCATCAGCTTTACAATTAGTTATTAAGCTCTAACTTAATATATGAGTTAACGCCTAACAACTATCTGACTTTGAACAAGCTGCTGAATGAACTTCTCTAACCCTCAGTTTCCTATTCTTTAAGATAGGGATAATAATGATATCTACCTCATGAGATAGTGAATATAAAACTCAAAACATAGTGCCTGGTGCATAGTAAATATCCAGTAAAAGCTAGTTATATTTCCTTTACTGTTGAGAAAAAGATTTCTTGTACATTTTGATTAATTTCACTGTATGCCTTAATTTTACTATCTCCTTCTCTAAATAATCTAGAGATCTGTAAAAGTCAATAAGCTACTTTAATTTCCAAAGAAAAAAGGAACTGTTTCAGAAACCAGTGTATATACTAGTATCAAAATTAAAAGTATGAATTTTATTAGAAAAGGCAGCAAAGATTTCATATTTATACATCATAGTCTATAAAACAGGAACCTCTCATTTTATAGTGTCATAAAGATCAGGCCATTTTTTTTTCCTTGGTCAGGAAAAAAAACAAACTCCCATTTCTAAAAATGTCCCAAGTTTTTTTCTTAAAAAAGTCATCTTGCAACAAAATACCCTATTATCATAGAAAGCAAGTATAGGACAGTACGTCATGAACAAGACTATAAAAATGTAGTGGTATATGAACCAAGAAAAAAATTCATCTGGAAAAATGAGTGTAAGAAGAGGTTTTCCTCCGAATTTAATTAAGACTGTGAGTTTTCTGTTCTGTGATTTTTTCTTTGATACTCCCATGAACATGATAAACACTCAAAATTAAAAATGACCTTTCAATTTTAAAAAATGCTTTAGGTATTTGCTTCTTTTAGAAAAGCACACTAATTTTGTAAAAGAAACATGAATGATGAAATCTGACATATAAAAAAAGCAAACATATAGATTTGCCCCTTTTTTTTCTGGTTTTTATATTTAGATTTAATCTACTTTCTCAACAGCATTACAAAAGGAGTTGAAGGCAGAATATCCAATCTAAACCAATTAAACACTGACATGAATTCAAGGAATATACATACTATTAATTTTATGAATTCAAGGACTATCCAGGTTATGAATTTTAGCTTTCTGTGAGGCAACAATTCCATAGTGGTCTTATATAAACACAAGGAAAAATTAAAAAAAAAAAAAACCAAACCAACAAACAAAAACTATGGTTATGATACAGCAATCTCGTAAACCTATGAACTTTAATTACCACTGAGTCTGATTTACAATTGCCGATGAGGTCTAAAGAATAACAGAAAGCAAGTTTCACATATAGATCAAATAGGACAACTTTTCTTTCTAATTAACTAAATTAAATTCATTATTGAGAGTCAGAGAAGGGAAGTAGTCTAAAGAGTAACACCTTTTGTTCTGAAACTCTTGATACACTATACATAGGTTTATTATATATAATACATCCTTTCCACAGTAAAGTAAAATCAGCAATTACATAGTAGCCCAAAGCCTCTGAATAATTCAGGACTACAAAAATGACTCTTCAGAAGAAATTACAGGGAAAATTTAGGTAAGGAATGTAATTTAGTAAGGACCTTGGTTAAAAGAAGGTGAAAGACACAAAAGAATAAATCATAACTTCCTACCTTAGTGTTATCCAAAAAAAAAAAAACTCTAAAGATTTTATTTCTCACAGGAATTTCATGGGAAAAAAAAGGTATATGAAAAAGTCTAAATGGATGTGCAAGATAAAGTGATAATTTGGAGTCAAACAGTATTTTGAGTGGAAGACTAGACAATAAGGGGATTAAAACTTTGATGTGTCAAATGGATTCCATGAAGTTTGCTGTCCCGTGAAAATAAAACAAGTAAAAACACCCCAAAAAACTCTCACACCAAAGAATCATGCCTTACATGTGTTTCTATTCAAATCAATTGTGAAAACTTTGTCTTGCCAGATATTTTATAATTCCCTCAAAACGAAAAAGTGGTGAGAAGCCTTGATAATCTCAATCAACTAAAATATTGTTAGAGATTCTCTTGCTCTTTCATCTATCTCAAAACTTAGAAGTTCTACCATAATGTAATAGTCAAACATACATGCAAAATGACCCTGCAATTAAGGTAATTGCTGGTACCAAATGTTGTTTTTAAGTTCTGCAATAAAACAGTCTCCCAGACATTTAATAGTATGTCATTTGGTAAATGAAAGTTTCCACAAAGTAAGAACAGTGAGAAGACCTAAAAATTATGCTAGTGAAGAGTCTGGCTGAAAGAAACAAAAATACGGATCATTTTGGTCCAATACTAATTTTATTTCAAGTTACTACAGAGCTGAATAAAATGCTGACACCACCACACAAAAATTTATTGAGTTGGCAATAGGCAAAGCATGATGTCAGCCACCAATATGACCATCCACATTACCAAAGAGCATGAACTTAACTTAGACTTAAAGTTACAGTAAAAATAAAAATCTTAGGTATGAAGTATTATTAAACATAGATGAGTTTAGTTTAGCATAGTTTTGACTCAAATTAGTCTAATACTTTAACAAATTCAGTAAAAAACATAGATAAATGCAAGCTTAAACATATTACAACTTCCTAAATGAGCTACATGCTTTACCCAACAGACCTACACAAATAGCCTTAGTCAATTCACACTAATTTTCAAATACGTAACACCACACACATTTAAAAGGCAGGCTGACATGAGAGATGGAACACACACACATACAGTCCATACAAGTCCTTACCTTCATGGCATGAATTTCTTCGAGCAATCGTTGTGCTCGTCTTTGGTTTTTTAATACTGCATCTTTGGTACCCCTGCAAAATACACATTACAATATATAGTCAGAAAAAGCACTTATCTTAGATTCATATAATGAAATCGCTCTATTTCTTTTAGAAAAACTGAATAAAGCTCTAAATAACACTGTTGCTCTGTCATCCTGCACTACTTTCTCCTGCCCTACCCAACACATACCCCAATTCCATCAACAAATCCAAGTTTTTGGTAATAATAAGCACTGTCCAGGCATTATATTAATGACTATTCTCACTGATAGACACTTTGCCTTCTAATTCCTCAATGGGAAGGTTAAATAATACATTCCAATCAACTGATAAATAGCACATTGTATTTCATATAATGTAAGTTTCATAAGCTATAATTATGTTTCATAAGCTATAAGGCTGGATATAACTTTATTAAATAAAAATTTGTCCTCTGGAATTAAAGGAATACATAAAGATGTTAAACGTATGATTGTATCAGAGAGGAGGGCTATCTTTTGAAACATTTACAAAAGAAAGAGCAAGAAATTAATCAGAAACAAAATAAATTTCAAGACTAAGTATTCATGCTTGAAGCATAAGAACTATAACAGACTTTTTCTCTAATACCAGTGACATCAAAAATCAAAATATTTTTTCAAAAAATTAATGCAACATAATATTCTGATAAACATTTCCATAAGGTATTAAAGATTTCCAATTAATTAGCAATTCAAGAAATAAGATGATATAAAATCTTTACAACCGATTCAAGGTATCACTAGATTTGTTAAACTACATCAACATCTTAAAAAGAAATTTCTAATAACATAAAACATGTAAATAATCCCAAAGGACTTTCATTTTGAAAAAGCCAAAAGGAGAGTTTTGAAAAAAAGCAGAAGAATTCATCATATATTTTAAGTGAATACAGGCCAAACTATGCAAGGACATGCTGACACAGCACACTTTACGTCACTCAGATCCTATCTACATATAAAACAAAGTGCTGTATGAATAATATATTTAATTATTTCTCTAGGTCTCCAATTTTGTAAATACTGAATAAAAACAACTTATGACATTTTATTAGTCATAGGACCATTACTTTAAATGACTAACTTTTTTGACTTCAGTCTGTCAACACTCCTGACAAGTTTTCGGATAACCAAAACTCGGATTCTCTTCACTTCTTTTCTCATCTTCACAACCTTCGAGGAATAAAGCCAAAATTAGAAAGACTATTAATTCAAGAAGAAACATACCTTATTTTGAGTATTATTATAGAATAAGTCAATCACTTTAACCAAAGTTTTGTTTAACTATATTCATAGTTTGATAAAATTAAACTTCTTTCATAAATAGTGAATAAGGAATAAATCAACATTATAGACATATCTGAAGACTTATGAGAAACAATTTATGATTAAAAAAAATCACAGCATTTCCAGTGGTTAGTATTTTAAATTACATTTATACCTTATTGGGCTTGGAACTTAATGAACTGGGCTCACTGAGTACAGAGACCATCATATTCATCTTTGAATCTTTGTGGTTTAAAACAAAGCTTCACCCATAATGGCAGGAATTTACTCAGTGAGGTATTAACAAAAGCAAATGTATAAAAGTCATTATATTTTATTTATTTATAGAAAAGCTTTTTCATTTATATTTAGTAATAAATTATTTCAACCAACCATAACTAGAAAACACAAGGGGGCCCATGTGCGCGCACACACACACGCACAAACACAAACACACACACACACACACACTTTAATTCATCCCGTTAGAGAACTATGCTGAATTCTAAGGACAAAAAAAAAAAAAAAAAGAATTATTGGCCAAGAGATGGAAATAGTCTAGCAATAAAGAACTACATGTTACAATAGTATTTAGTACAACGGGATGCTATCATTCTGAGTTTATGTTTTTTCTATCATTGTTAGGAATCGTACATCTTGTAATTCCTTCTGTAATGTCCTTCATCCCTTTCTCCACTTTAGGAGCTACATAAAATTCAGTTCAGATATAATCTTTCCTGTGAAACCTTCAATGACTTCTTCAGTTAGATAGCAATGCTATCCTTGGTGTTCCCACTACATTCGCAGTTAGCACCCATCTCACTGTAGTGTCACTAACTGCTCCTGCGGCTATCTTTTTCTATAGCTTATGAGCTCCTGAAGGACAGGGGCCTTACAATATTTACATAGCATTTTCTGTGCCTTGCAAGAGTGCCTGGCACACACAACTCTTAAATTCTTCCTGCCAAAATAACAATGTCAACATCATTCTGTTTTTCCAAGGCTCTTACAGTTAGCTGTTACTTCTCACCCTTCATTAATATCATTCACCCTCTTTATTCATTGAAGGTACAGGCAGCTAACTTACAATTTCTCTGCACCCTAAGTTTTGCCATCATTCTGGATAAAGTAGATGTCCACTTGAATAATCCACCCAATATTATATCCTCACTTCTTGACTTCTACTTTTCTAATGACCTAATCTATTCCATCACAGACACCCACTTCCACGGTCACACTGTATTCCTTGTCATTGCTTATAACTATTCCATTGCTAAAACCATCAATTCAAATACTCTGCACTGAGATCACAGCTTCTTTCAGTTTGCTTGTTCAACTCCACCCATCACAACTGTCTTTGACTTCACTGGAACTACCAGTTCACTGACCTCTATACTTTCTCTCAAATGATTTGTCCTTTTCTTTTTAATTTTCCTGCTTTTATCCAGTTTAAGTACCTGAGCAACACTTGTCAATATCTTAAATTCCCCTATCCCTCTGGTTAGCAATCCTTCTATTTACTCCTGGATAAAAAGGACATTCTGAGTTCTTTATCACAGTATCCCAACAGTCTGGAAATACTTGAGACATTCTATCTACTAAATGTTCAAATGGGCCCTTACACTTCCTAGCAATCCTATTGTGTGTGTGTGTGTGTGTATGTATATATATATATATGCTTTTTTTGTCAATTCACTTTACAATGACTATTATAAATTTGTGCCTGCTTTCCTAAAACATCTAACCTTTCTCTTCCTCTTTTACAATTTCATGGAGAAAATAAACATTAGATGGGAACCATCATTTTAGAAAAGTGAAAGTAAATTTACTTGCATCATCCATCCTCTTCTATCAATAAAGTTACAATTAAGAAATATCCCTAAACTTTTCTGCGGTTAATCTTTTAACTGTGTTTGGATCTCATCTTTTTCTGCCTTCCTAGAACCATTACTATATAGACTATCCCTTTACCCAGCATTGTCAATCTCTTAAATGGATGTTTCCCATTGACTTTTAACCATGCTTAAGTCATTTTTATTACAGACAAGACAAACAAAACATCCTTACTACAAAGATCACCAGAACCCTCTCTTCAGCTCCCTCAAAGCCAGGCTTTTAGAGATGTTCAAACTCACTATCTCCATTTCTGCATGCCACACAATTCCATTTAATTTCCGATCCCATCAGTCCACTAAAAGCTGTCACAAAGGACACCAATGACTTTTAAAAGTCCCTAGATCCAATAGGAATTTTTTAGGCTTCGTTTTACTTTAAACCTCAGCAGCATGTGATACTGTTGATCACTTCCTCCTTCTTGAAATACTTTTCCCTTCATTTCTGTGACAGAATACTACTTTGGTTTTCCTCCTTCCTCTTTAGCCAATCTATCTTATTCTTCTTTGAAGGCTCATCCACCTCTAATAGTCTTGAACTTCCAGAGTTCAAGGGGCAGTCCTAGGCCAGCTCTTCTTTTCAAGATATACTTTTTAGCCCTAAGTAATACAATTTGAGTGATAATTAGGAGATAAAACTGTCAGGACTTGGTAATAGATTCATTGTGAGGGATTTAGAAAAGAGAGCTACCTATAATGAGCCCTAGGTTTATACTTGAAAGGATTGTTCCCTTCCTTTAAATATGAAACACCAAAAAAACCAGCCAGTTGAGAGTGAAGAACATGAGTTCAAGTGTGAGTTGGAGGTGATTTTAAGCATATTTGAAATGTCACGTAGGTAGTTACACATTTAGATCTGGAGCTAAAGTAGAGATCTCAGCTGAAGGTAAAATTTTTTGAGTCATCTTTGTTTAGGTGGCTCATTATAGGTAGCTCTCTTTTCTAAATCCCTCACAATGAATTTATTACCAAGTCCTGACAGTTTTATCTCCTAATTATCACTCAAATTGTATTACTTTTTTTCTATCTTGACTTCCTAGCCCTTTTGGCTAAGTTATTGGTAACTGGTTTCTCAGCATCCATTCTTGTCTCTCTCCAAACAGTTATCTTACAACTCTCAATACACTCAGATCTGATGTAACACCATTACTTAACTCTCTTCAGTGGTTTCCAACTGCTCTTAGGATGGCCTCAAGGGCCATCTTTTAGGCCATCCTCACCATGCTTACAACTACCACCAAATCTTCATGTCTGCTGTTTTCTGATAGGCGTGCTCCTTCTCCTCGTTAGCTTGTTAACATCTTATCTTTGATTTTGGATCAAATATCATTTCTCAGTAAAGTGTCTTTTGGCCTCCATGAGAAGGTCGAAAAGTGCTTCTAGAACTTATTAGCTTCTAGACCCTTATTTTATGTTTAATATTTTACTTTTAACCTGATTATGCTTAATGTGTCTTTCTCTGAGTAGGTTACAAATTCCATGAAGGTCAAATATCTGGTTTTACTCAACACTGAATCTTAACACCTAACACAGCAGATAGCATACAGTAAGTGTTTGATAATAATACTCATTTGTTCATTCACTGTTTCAAGAGAGTAATACATTAAAGGAATGTAGAGTAATCAGATTTCCACTAGATATGTTAACCTCTTTGGAATTTGTTTCAAAGTTAGACCTATTTAGGAAAAAAATCATACTTACATAAACAAAAAGCCACTTAGACTAGGTTTAGGTGAAAAAAAGAAATGCTACATTTCATATACAGCATAAAAAGGGGTTATGATACATTTTTTGAAAGTTAAGTCTTTCATAAAATAAATTAATAGCAAGTGATAAATTATGCATTAAATATATTAACATAGGTTTCTAACTGCTATACACTGCAGGTGCACAAGATGATTATATACCATTTGCTAACCACTGTTAACCAATCTTAACTAATAAATTGCAGTGGGCAGAGTTGGTCCTCGGTTACATTCCAATCATGGGAAAGCTAGACTCCAATTTTAAAATTCCAATTTAAGAAGTACTATGTTTGTCATTACTGCATAAGGGAATTCTAAAAGGAAAGAGAATGCTTCATGCACTTAGTCTCATTCCAATGCCAAAAAATGCTTTTCTAGCTTATTAACTCTCTCAGTATTTGATAAGTTTAGTATATTTTTTAAAAAGTATATTCATTTATGTAAAACTGGAATTATTCTTTTATTTTTCTCACACTGTCCACTCCAAGCACCTGGCTTACTCCAAGGATTTAAATTTATTTTTGCAAAACTGATGAACAGCTACCAACAGCCTTTTAGTTAGGACTTAAAAGGCTGCCAATTCATTTGTCACCCAGGTATTATGAAGTTGGTTCACAGATAACCCGTAAATCAACAAACAGGCCTGAAATACCCAATACTGTCAGAAGGCCAAGATACTACTTAAGGGCAATATGTCTTGGTGAATTCTCCAACCACAAGCAAATAGAACTGTCACTGTTAGGAATGTGAAAAGGTATAATATTGTTTGGGAGGAAAAGAAGGAAAGAGAAATAAAATGAGCAAGGAGGAAACAGGTATAATGATGAAAATGCAATGTGCTGACACAGAAGAAACAAAATGAAAGAGAAGTGAAAGGGAAGAATTTAAAGTCACAAATTGAAGGACAAAAATCTGTAGGTCATTAATTACCAAGACTGGTAAGTCAAGCAGCAAAAGAATGCATTTAATAACCTATAAGAACACAAGAAAAAGAGTTAAGACATATACACCCACATCCACACACAATACTTGCACTGAAAGTGAGGTGTCACCTAGAGCCTAGGCACAGATATGCCTTCAGATAACCTGGTTGAAACTGAACACAATAATGTAACCAGGCTCAACTCTTGGGTAGATGGCACAAAAATGCAGTCATAAATAAATTAAGCGAAAAACTAATATACCTGCTTGGGAAAAGACCATGAGCATACAGGTAAGAGTCAGCATAAACACAGGAAAGGGAACTGCAACAAGCAAAAGCTGGCAATGTCCAACTCAAGAAGATTCTAAGAATCTTCTTGAAAGAAAGATTTCACAGCTCAGAGACTTGGGAAATTCAGTTTGTACTAGAATAACTCAATTATAGAGACAGATGTATCATAGCACAACATTCAATCATGCAACTAAAACCCTTCCTGTGGTTCTACATTTCAAGCAGCTGACAGAGACCACAGGGAAAGAATTTGTCTTACAACGTGGGCATTAGTAACTACATTAGATACATTCCTTAATCAACTGGCTTTCTCATTTATATAGTCTGTTTTAAGTCTGTGGTTGATATGATTTTGCTTTTGAGAGAGTACTTTTTTTGAGAATATTTTTGCAGTGACAATGATAGCAAGTTTCAGATCTACAAAGCTAAGAGCAAACTTTGGTCCGGAGACAAAAGTAAATGTTACTTTGAAATAAGGCGTAGTTGGCTATCTGCTAGCCAGTCAACCAGCCAATCTTTTTTGGTAATGTACTAATTTTGCTATGCATTTGAATTAACCTATAACAAAAATTCATAGTTATTAGAAAATAATTATTCTAAGAGCTGGTTGATATCAGGAAGCTTACAGTACTAAGAGTTTTCTGAATATATCTCTGTTTCTTAGAATACATTAAAGTTTCTGCTTATTCATTACCCACCTATCAGGTCGACAAATAAAAAAAATATGACAACACATTCTGCTTGTGAGGCGGTGAGGAAACTGGCACTCTCATACAGTGCTGATAAGAATGCAAACTGGTATATTCCTTCTAGAGGAAACTCTGGCAATACCTAACAAAAATCCTACTTCTAGGAATCTGTTCAGAAGACATACTTCCATCTATAGCAAAAGGCTATGCACACCACTATTTAATGAGGCATTTTTATAAAATGGTGCATAAGAGATAAAATACCATATATAAATAAGCCATGAACAATGTATATTTTAAATCAATGCAGGACAGCTGCACGTATTATGGATAAACCCTGAAAATAATGTTTGGTGAGAAAAGTAACTTTTAGAATGATACGTATAGTGTGATACTACATTTATACAGTATGACATCACAAATGCAAAGTTTAAAAATATACAACACAATACGCTGGGTACAAATATGGGTATATATGTTACTAAAATTATATAAAAAAAATACATATGAGAAAATCCTGAATGAGTAATAATTACTTCTGAGGTGGAAATGAAGGTGGGTGGAATTAAGGATTATGATATGCAAAATACTGACATTTACTAAATACAGCAAATAGATGATAAGGATACTTGTGGTATCGTTTTCCATATGTTTGAATTATTTATTATAGTTAACAATATTAATTATGGTTTTATTCAGAGGACTTCTAATTTGGCCTTTTGGATAACTTACAGTTGAATTATACATTTTATTCCTGATGAGTAACAATTTTAAAATGCTAGAGTGCTTTGTGATAATCTACAACTTAATCTTTATTGAGCATATGCTGCCACCTAGCAAAACTTCCCAGGATAGTTTAACAACCAAACAAAATGGTTCTCTTCCTATGGCTGGACTCTGACTTACTATTTCAGTAAGGGATTATTGAATACTTTATTAAAAAAATAGTAAAGGTAGAAACTTACATTACTTTCAGAAGAGTACATTTATTTTAAGGACTTAAGAGTCTGGAAGTGTTCTAAATGTCAGCCTTTATCCTTGGAAAATAACTAAAAAATTTTTGAATTAGGGCTGAAGACTGAAAGTTAGCAAAATACAATAGTTGTGTCTGCAGGAAAGCTTTTATTTTCACAAAAGACATTTTGGGAAATTAAATGTATTGTAAATTAGGTGGCCACATAGCTTTTAAAAAGAAAAGGCTATAATTAAAAACTACAGAAAAAGAATTCCATTCAAATAAATCACAGATATGAATATCAATATCCCAAAGACATTACCAGAGATTTACAAATTTTTGCAAATGTGATAAAACCTACAGAATCTTTCCCCCTCTCCACAAAGACAGACATAAATACAACAAATTACACATAATTTTAGGCACTTACACGATCCCTGAAATACATTACTAAATCTCAGTTAAGGAGAGCTAATTTAAGTTATCAGGGATCATAAAAATGATGCCTCAAGTTACTTATTTAATAGGTAAGTACTGTATATATGATGGTAAGCAAAAATTTACAGTCAGGTTGAGGGCCTCTCACATTCACATGCAAATACATTAAGCAAATCTTACAAATGCTAAAAAATATTAGTAAATTAGTGCTACAGGAGCTTACAAAAGGAGTAAATGAAAGTTAAGAACAGTTTCCCTGAAAAAGTGACAAAGTAGAAGTATGACATGAACTAATGAGAGGAAAAGAAACTGTGGGTAAAAGGGACAGCACATGGAAAAGACCTGTAGACTGCTATGCAAGGTAGTGGAGGAAAGCAAATGCAGCTGAAGTACAGAGCCTGAGCAGGGGATGTGGGGAGTGGTAAAATAGAAAATGGAGAGATTGGCCTTGCTTAGACTGGTCTTTATCAAAAGCAACAAGAAGTCACCAAATAGGTTCTAAGCAAGGGAATCACATGATTAGATTTGTTTTAAAGAGAGCACTCCAGCAGCATTATGGCGATGAGATCAGAGGAAGAGAGTCAAAGTAGTTGGGAGGCTAGGATGGTAGTTCTGCTGGGAGACAGAAACTGGACTAGGACAGAGGTGATGACAGAAACGTAATGGGAAGATATGAAAGATAACAGTGAATTTGAACTCCTTTTCAGATATATTTCTTCTTTAAAGAAGCTGTTAATTAATTTCTTTTACTGGTTGTCTCTTTGTTTTTCCCTTTTTATGTAGACAAATGTTTTTTCCCTTTGTAGTGTTTCTTCCGTTAATTTTAAATTATAACACCTTTCTTCTACCATCTCCACTTTTTTTTTGTCCTATTTTCCCTACTTTCACAGTAGAACATGTAAGATTTACTTCAATGTGGGATGTATAAACTTCCAAATTTGGTAAGTTCATTCAATCATCCAGCAAACATTTATTGAGCACATATGTTTCAGGTGATAGACATACACACAAAAAGAGAGAAACAGGTAAACAAGTTTTTCCAGAGCAGAAAGCACCCAGGTTGCATAAAGAACAGACACCTAGCCCAGCCTGAGGGGAATTAGTGAAGACTTTATAAAGGTCAAATTTTAACTGCTATGAAGAGGTCTGCATACTAGCTAAACGGAAAAACAAAGAGCCTTAAATGAAGAGTGGGTAGATGACTTTCACCAATCCTCTCAGAGTAATTTCAAAATTGAACAGGAAGCTCAATAGCCAGTGAATTCCAAGGACATCACTCTGATTAAAATCTTTTATACCTCATAGATAATCCAACTGAAAAATGACCACCAAATGTTTTCTGGAACTAGCACGAGCTTAAGGTATGTTTATTAATATAAACTAAACACTTTCAGAATTTCCCTCTCAATATATCCTGTTCTCCAATGCTAAGTGAAATCCATACTTATTAACCTGGTAGTAATATATTTCAGCTTTATTTCTACTTCATCCCACAAGTTCTGATCAGTGGAGTTATCTACTCCAGTGCCACCCAGGGGATTTCCCACTCCCATCCTTACCCCACTTATACTGGTCCCTCTGGCTAGAATAGAATGCCTTCTTTCCCCTTTATTGAATCACTGAATGCAACTCTGTGTAAGATTCTTAAACACCGAGAACAAATAGCACTCACTTCATTTTGCCTTCTTTGGATAGTTTTCTGCACCACGTAACTTTTTTGGGGGGCATTATTCTGTATCACTGGTGGATGTTGCTCACCCTTTCCTGAGTATAGGTTGCTTAAAAACAGAAAGTATGGCTTACACAACTGCAATATGAACAGTGACTTGCACATAGCAGATACGTATATCCACTGAATAAAAGGACGAAGAATTTCCCTTGCTGTAGCTGACCCTTGCTTTTCCAGGAGACTTTAAGTCTTCGATGACTTACGACTTCCTTGAATAGAAGCAGAAACTGGAAAGTGGATAACGACATAAATGGTAATATGGTGACATTTAACATAGTATGGTGGAGGTGACGCTGGCAAATGTCTGATAAGACTGGATTTAAGAGGGAAGGAATGAACAATTTGGGCACAGCAAGTATTAAAATTCTGCTGTAAATGGAAGCAGAGAAATGGGGCAGTAGCTGGAAGAAATGAGATACTGGGCGAGTGTACATCGTTACAAACGATACGGTCTCATTCAAGATCAGCAATTTTTAGGAAAAGCTAAAGGTCTCAATCTCTCCTTTGTAATTTCTGCAGTCAACAAAAGGCAAACAATATGTACTGAGAGTTTATTGTCAGGCACTGTGCAAACACTTTACATATTCCAGTTAATTTTTCACCAGAGCCTTGCGAAAAAGGTACTATCGTAAGATTCGTTTTACTGGCATACACTGACTATAGAGATTAAACGCTTTTTCCAAAGCATCACAGATAAAAATTCATAAGGACTGAGAGCCAGAGACGCTTCAGTCGCCTAGAAACCGTCAAGGGGACTTAGAGTCGTCCTGCTCTGACTTCTGGAAAACTCGCCTGGGCTTTTAGGCGCACTCCCTGCCTCGCCACAGGCCCTTCAGAATGACGCAGAAGAGCCATTCCGAGAGCCCTAAAAGTCGACCCCACAGGTTCCCAGACCTCGGTGCTCACCTCGTTATTGAGGTTCAGAGATCCCGGCTCCGCCATGGTAGCTATAAAAAGAGGATCCGGGGCTGCCGGCACGCGAACGGAAGCTATTCGAACGCGGCTGCGTCGCTACGCCTCTCAATGGTGGCCTCGCCGGCCCAAAATTCATCCGCCGTCCGATCGCGCCGATGCATGGGTGAAAGGTATAGGGCCTCGGCAATGTGTGGGGGGGAGAACGGAAGTGACGGAGAACAACTTCCGGCACAGAGCGCTCCGCGCCAGATTTGAGCGTTCCTGTGAAAAGCAGGCTCGGGCTGGAACTTGGGAAGGCGCTCCGGAAGCTGTCGGCTTGTTGAGAAGTTTTTCAAGATGCTGCTTTTATTCCATTCGATTGTAGACTGGGTCTAGCTTTGTAAGGACCTTGTATTTTTGTGTCCCAGTGAGTGAGAGCTTTTATGAAAGGCTCACTTGAACGACAGATTTTACTATTTTTTTCCTAGCGTTTCTGAAGATTTCTGCGCTGCTAACAAACGCAACTCTTAGCTACAGCTTTGTTTCTTCCTTACTCAGGGAAGAAATATGCCATATCCCTGAGGGGCATATTTTTCTGCACACTGTAAGAAGGTTTAAATTTAAATAATGAACGTTTAAAGCAAAACGAGGTTGCACATTTGCTGCTGCCTGTGAGAATGGCTGTTTTGAAGTATTAGCCTGCATGCAGAGGAGACATGAGGAAGTGAGTCTGAATTAAATAATACATTAATAGTTAACACCTAGTAGTACTGAGCGTTAAAATGGGTCAAGTGCTGGGGCAAACCCTTTGCACGAATTTATCTCCAAAAAAGTCACAGAAATCCAGTGAGATAGGAAATATTATTCTTATTTTACAGATGGGGAAACTGACTTTCGAGGAGCCATGTGTCTTGTCCAGAGTTGCCCAGCTAGAGCCGACCACTGCTACAGGACTCCAGGGCTGGTTGCATATATTGTGGAGTCCCATGCAAAATGAAAATTAAGGACCCCCCCCATTCAAAAAGTAGGAATTTTCTTTTTATCTTCCGTGATGTCTTTTGACCTGTATGCGCTTTTTATTTGGTATTTAATGTGGTGCTCCCTCAAGCACAGGGGTGCCATGAGTCTAGTGCAGACGCTCACAGATGCCTGGAGCCTCTGCTTCAGGACTCAGGGAGGGGCGGCTGTACTGGACCAAAGTGACAGCAGTTGCTGAACAGAGACAGGGAAGTAGGAAGCCAGAGAACCCGAATGGGATTATGTGGCAGGGAAGTACACACTTGACCTGAGACTAAGCCCTTGATACATTTTCCATTGTCCCACTGGATTTCACTTACAAAACTCAATTTCACAGATAAGCTTATTAAGAATTTCGAGTCTGTGATGAAAGAACATTTAAGCCAGGCCCACTTATGAGCCTCTCTCCAAGAAGACGGACCTATTCAGACCCTATGCCCTTAGCTTGTGATTCTGAATTCACTTTGCAGTAACTCAGTAGCAGTAACTCAGACGGGTTTGGATTGGTATTCTTTTAGTTTAATGTGTGATTTGGGCACAAGTGAATTAATGCCTGACTTCCTGTTTGACTAGTGTCGCATAAAGGTAGTTTTTGCCATTAATAAGTTGTATACCGAATTGTAATTGTCTCCTTACTCATCTACTGCCCCTCCTGGAGTGTAGGGGCTTTTCAACCAGGCTGGGGCATACGTAAGTACACAGGAAGTAATGTTTTAAAGATAAATGTAGAGCTTGATGGAAAGTGTTTCTTCTATTTGGGGAGAAAGGTTTTAGTATGATTCCATAATGCTTCAAAAAATGGATTCTTAGTCTGAAGTTTGTCTATAGTTCTTAAAGGCTCTGCTGTGTTTTTCCTTGACCACTGTTGTTCTCCAACATTATTTCTCTGGCCGCCACAGTCTCTTCAGGCTCAGAATTTGTTTTTTATGTTTTCTTAGCTCAAGCACTCTCCTTTGCTTATGATATTCCCTCTGCCACATCTGCTTTCTCAAGTGCTACTTTTCAAGACTGGTGCACATTCTATCCATCCTTTTTAAGAATTATTTTCATAGCCTTCGACAGAAGTTAACTTTTTCCATCAGCATTTCATTCCTATATAACTTACGATAGTTTGCTCTAATTTGAAATTTCTTGTGTACTGTCTATTCTTTTACATTATAACCTCTCAGCAACCTTATGTTCGTTTTTAAAGTGACTAGTAGTTTTTCATTGTCACTGACATATCACTTCCATGTCAACCCATCTTTGTCTTTTGATTCCACAATCTCAAAAATCATTTTGATTCTTTACAGAGGTGATTCTACTCTCCAACCTATTCTCATCAAGCTATACACATCTCCTCTAGTAATAATAATGCATTTGTATTAATCAAGCTATAAGTTTCTCCTGCCTCTTTTATTCCTGAAGGGCTGACCTGGGTCGGTTAAATGCTGTCAGATATATGAAGCAACAAAACTATTATCATTAAGAGCAACTAGTGTGAGACCTTGTCCCTCTTTATTACACTGTTACAATTATTGGAAGTAAGGATTCACAAGCATGTACAATGGTGACCCAAGTTTTCCAAATTCAGGTTTCTTAAGAATTTCTCAAATCCCACTGTATTTGTCTACTCAGGCTACAACAAAATACCACAGATTGAGTGGCTTAAACAAAATAATTTGTTTTCTTACAGTTCTGGAGGCTAGATGTCCAAGATCAAGGTGCTATCATGCTTGTTTCTCCTGAGAGTTTTTTTCCTGGCTTGCAGAGGCAATCTTTTTGCTGTGTCCTCACATGGCCTTTGCAGTGTGCACACCTGGAGAGAGACTTCTCTGATGTTTCTTTCTCTTCTTATAAGGATGCCAGTCCTTTGGTATTAGGGCTCCACCCTTATGACCTCATTTCACCTTAATTGCCTCCCTAAGGGCTCTGTCTGCAAACACCGTTACATTGGGCATTAGAGCTTCAATATATGGATTTCAGGGGGACACAATTCAGTCTCCAACACCCTCTTTCTTTGAGAAAAGAAAATTACCTTTAAAGTAATCTTATCAAACTTGCTTGATGACTGCTATTTCAATCATTTTGTACTTTTAAAAATTGTAGTCATACATTTCTAGATGACAGCTAAACTCATGGATGTTTAGCAATCAGAACAGAATTGAGAAATAGATCTGTGCGTATATAGATAACTGATTTTCAACAAAGTTGCAAAGATAATTCAGTGGAGGGAAGGTACCCTTTTCAAAAATTGTGCCTGAACAATTGGATATTCATATAAAAAAATTAACTTTGACACACATTTCACACCAAATACATAAACAACTTAAAATGATTTATACTCCTAAATGTAAAGCATAAAACTATGAAACTCCTGAAATAAATGATAGGACAAAGACCTTGTGACCTAGAGTTAAGCAAAGATTTCTTGGATATCAAAACAAATGCAGAATCCATATAAAAATGCATTGATAAACTGAACTGAATTGACATCAAAACTTCTTCTCTTCAAAATACACTGTTAAGAGAATAAAAAGGTAAGCTATATGTGGAGAAGAAAATTTTGCAACTAAAATAATTTATAAAGGTTTTTTTTTATCTAGAATATATAAAGAACTCTCCAAACTCAATAAATATAGAAGGAACCCAATAAAAAAAAGTTGGCAAAAGATCTGAACAGATACTTCACCTACAAAGATATGTGGATAGCAAATAAACGTATGAAAATAATGTTCAACATCATCAGGGAAATGCAAATTAAAACCACAATATGATTAAAACCACTTATTAGAATAGTTAAAAAGTGATCATACCAAGTACCAGTGAGGATGTGAAACAACTTGAACTCTTAAGTGTCATTTGTGGAAATGTAAAATGGGACGATCACTTTAGAAAGGATTTGGTAATTTCTTAAATTATACATCCACTAGCCATATGATCTAGGATTTCCTCCTTTGGATCAGTAACGACATTAAAGCACATGGCCTTTATATAAAGACTTGTACATAAATGTTCAGATAAGCTCTATTTGTAGTAGCCAAAATATAGAAATAACTCAGATTTCCATTTAACAGACAAAGGAATAAATTATGGTGTACTTACACATAGAAACACACAAGCACACACACACAATGGACCATCACTCAGAAATTTTTTTAAATGATACACACAATATGGATGAATTTCAAAATAATTATGCTGAAAGAATCCAAACAAAAGGTCTACGTAGTGTATTATTCCATTTATGTAAAATCATATCTATATTCCCCAGTCCAGGGAACAAAGGTGTTATACAATCAAGTAAATGTGATGTGTGAAATGCAATCTCATGTGTAGTGACAAAAAGTAGATCAGTGTTTGCTTAGGGACTTCAGGGTGGAAGGATGGAATGATGGAGGGGAGAAATTAGAAAAGGTCATGAGGAAACTTTTGGAGATGATTGATACATATTCATTTTCATGATTTTGGTCATGGTATCAATTATACATAAGTCAAAACATATTAAACTGTATACTTTAATTATTGCAGTTTAATATGTGTCAATTACACCTCAGTAAAACTTAAATACACTTACCATAGAACTAGCAATTAAACCTCTAGAAAAATACTCTATAGTTATATTGGTACAAATTAATGATGCATGTACAAGGATACTCATTACACAAGTGTTTGTAATAACAAAAGATTTGAGACAACCTGTTCACCAGCACATAACTGTTTAATGGATCCATTAGGAAGAATAATCAGCTCTTCATTTGCTGGAGGAAGGCTCTTCATAATATATTATTAATGAATAAATCAAATTATAGTGTGCCACTGTGTATGTTTGGAGGAAGGGTACGTACTCCATACGTACACACGTCATATTTACTTGATTGTATAACATCTTTGTTTCCTGGCCTGGGGAGCAGAGGTAGAGTTTTTCTACCATGTACCCTTTGGTATCTTTTAAGTTTTATACCATGTGCTAGTATAAATTTTTAAAACAAATAGAATTTAAAATACATTCTCATGGTTTTTGTTGCAATTGTGAATGGGTATAGTCTCTCATTACTGCCTATATTAGCTGGTAGTGCCGGTATAGATACAAGCTATAAATTTGTTTTTGGTATATTTGTCATGCAATCACTTATCCATGGGTTTGTTTGTTTGTTTTTTGAGGGAGGAGAA